AGATGGGGAATTTGGAGGGACGTATGTATAACTCTTGTTGGCCAGTGATGCCCGCTCGATATTATTTTGATTCTTATCTCGTTCCCGTTCTTCCGTAAAAGTCCTAGCTAAATGGACAAGTAAATTTATAAGTGAATTCCACACTGCACCTATTATTTTGATAGACTATCCGAAAAGCGAATAGAGTGCGTATCCATGAATGATTGTATCGAGTATAAATTTAATCACGCGAAAAAGCATAATTACGGAAATAACGCCTGCGCTTACCGAACCAAAACTTATAAATCTTCCCCATAATTTCGACCATGTGGATTCGGCTAATTTCTCTAGCGCTTTTTCATCCAGCATATGATAAAATGATAATTCTGCTTCGGGACGTCTGTTCAAAGATACACTTTCTGCTACTTTATTTAAAATCGCAGCTTGTTCGTTTGGAAACATGATGTAGCTTTTTAATTTTTTAATATCTAACAAACTATAAATTCGGCTGTTAGTTATGTTAATGGGTGCTAGATATTTCCATGTTTGTTTTGTCTGAGGCTTTAAAACTTCTGGTCCGTCGCCAAAATAGGTCGGTCGTGGTAACATCTTAAACCATCCACTTCCTACCTTAAACATTACTGGTACTGTCTCATTACAGGCTGTTTCTGTACCGAAAAATTTCAATATGTGCGTGCGAGGTGTCATAAACATAGGTCTACCGTCGCGCTCTACAGGTAGTTCTTGATAGCACTCCGAAGAGTTTCTTGTCCGTACATGTACTGGTAAGCACTTAATTATGTGAATGACCTCACCTGCGAGTAGGCTCGTGTAGCCTGGTCCGTTCATCAAATAATAGGCTAATAAATCCGGACTAAATGTTGCGATATTTAGTACATTCATTATGACTTTCTTTTCTAACTGGCACTGTTGAAATAATACGTCATAATATAACTTTTGTAAACTTTTTCTTACGTGTTTTTCAAAGAAAAGTATCTTTGCATTAAAATATACAAATAAATCAATGTTTTTAATGTTTTTATCTTTTATTGCCGGGAAGGTATGTTTATTTTCATCATCTAGGATAAAAATTCTCGGATGTTCTGTTCTGGTTAAGACAAATCCGCATTTAGGCAATGCTCCTAGATCTTTAAATGCGAAGGACACTCCTTGTGTATCTAATACGTATAGTAGTAGCCTTTCGCTACCCTGTTCCATGACTTTATCTACATATCCGGTGTAAAGATCTGTGAACTTATTTTCTTGGCACTCGTGCATGGGAATTCACTGCCGATTAGTCTGTCTTCTTCAATAGGTAAATCATCGGGTACCATATGAAATTCGAATTCTAAATCTTTTATTGTAATATTTATTTTTCCTAATGTTACTACACTGTTATATGTAATACCTCGTAACTCTAAAATATTCAATTCATTCAGATATGCTTCGTTTGGTTTCTTAGACCATTTCAGTAGAGATGGTCCAGCACCAGTATCTAGTATGATAGAAAGACTAATATTTTGATTTTTATCTTCTAAAATAAAAGTTGGTGACTTACTATTCAAGTTTAGCAATACCAGTCTGTTCGTTATTTCTAATTTCTTTGTATTCTTACTTAAGCTCGGCGCTCCGTTTGGCTGGTCGTTTCTCCGGTCGCGCCTTTCACCTCGAAACCACCGGCGTTTCCCTGTTGTTGTTTCTTTTGTTCGTTAAAAATTCTTTTGTTACATCTTATTTTCCAGTGACCTTTAATACCGTAATAATTACAAATATCTCTGTTTGGATTTCCTGGTCCGCGATTATTAGAATTAAAATTTCCCTGGTATTAATTTTTTGATGCAGAGTTCTGATTTGCTTGGGGCGGAGCTACTTGCGGATTCATTCTTTCTCTATTGGCTGAATTTTGACTATTCATTTGCTTTTGGCCTTCGTTACTATTGAATCTTTCATTTTTAAATTTTGTACTGCCATTGTTATGGTAAAAACACGTATCTGCTAAATGATTTGACAACTTACAAATTTGACATACTGTGTCGAGTTATCGGTTTTTACTACCTTTACACTTTTAATGTTTGCTAATTCTTTTTTTGCATCTGCAAGTACTTTTACTGTCTGGTTGAGATCGTTGGGTTCCTGTGTTGCGAAATCGCGTTCAATCTCTACCGCTTTTGCTGTTGTTTCTTCAAGATTTTTTGCCTGTCCTATTCGCGCTTTAATCACCCAGTGTAAGCCGCGGATGAAAAACTTCACTTTATCCTTTTCTAATTAATTTAAGAATCCGACATTATATATTTTTTCACGCATTGCTGCGCTTAATAATTCTCGCGCTACTGTTTTAACTCTGTTTGAGAATTTTACAACGTTTTCTGAAGCTTTTTGCTGGAGCATAGCCAGCTCACCAGATAATTGGTTGAAAGTTTTGTCTGATCCGAAAAGGTGATCTAAATACATTTCAATCTTGCTAATTGTCTCAAAATGTTTTCCACGCATACTTTTTAATGCATCCCCGTATAATCTCATTTTAACTAATCTTGCTAGATCCGCTTCATTTCCGGGTGGAATAACATTATAAGCTTCCCAACAACCGTCTAGAAAGTCATGTAGTGGAATGCAGTATCCATCGTATTTAGGAATGAAATCTACGATATCTTTCAAACCTACATTTCTCAAAGGGCTAATTGTGGAATTTTGTACTGTTCGGGTTACTTCTTGTGGAGTTGAATGATAAATCGGTCTTCTGCTGGCAAATGATCTGCTTATTGACTTTGGCGTAAAGTATTCTGAATTGCTACTTTTCTCGTTTTGACTTTTTTCAGTGATTTTTGGTATTAAAAATTTAACGTTTTTATGATTTATAATAGGAATTTCGTTTCTTATTTTATCTATTTCGTCTTCGTTATCATTGTCAATTGTCAAGTTTGTCAAAGCTTGGAAATATTCCCTTGACTCGTCTTCCGTTATTTCCGCGTTTGATTCAATTATTGGCTCAAATTTATTTTCAAATTGTACTAGTTTGTCAGTACGATTTACTGCGACTAAAATTTCTTTTGGACTTATATTACGTTTTGTTAATTCTTCTACAATGAGTAGTAAAAGTGGATCTTGACATGAATTCCTTATTAATTGTTCATTTATATAATGTTCTAAAATTTTTATTAATTTTTCTAGTTGTTTTTTGCCTTCTAAATCGAAACCTAAATCTTGACGAGCGTGCAGAAATTTTATACATTCTAGTTATGTTGGTTCTCTACTAGTTATAAAATTCGGATCTACTTTTCCTATACAGTTTCTTAATATTAATAGTGCTTCCTCATTTCGTTTGTCTCTCAAATCGGCTCCCGTAGCCATGTTTGTAAATAAAAATTTACTTTTGCCTAATCCTGCTTTTCGTTAAAAAAATTTACGCGGAGGGGTCCCCAATTGTTACGTCTTACGTAACGGCCGTGAATAGGACAAGAATTACTCAAACGCGACTGTCTCTTTTCGGTCAACGCGTAAGCGCTTTACCACGGGTGCGAGACTCAAACGAAAGCAGGACGGCAACGTATCTAAAGTACCGAATGAATAAGTAATAATTAAATAATTTACCTGCAGTTTAACTAGTCCAGAAACTCGTACCTCAGAACCCAGAGATAAACGTGGATTAGGTATAACTCTCAATTAAGTTATTATAGAAATAGATTTATTGATCGAATTACAGAAGGTGCGTAGTGTCACAGAGTAGAATACAGAGTCTATGCTACAATTGTTTTGCGTTCTCTTTTATAGCACAAAATACATAAAAACTAATCGATAAAGGGTTAATCCCAGAAGGGGTAAGTGCGTCACTGAGATTAAAGTCAGCTATTAAATGACTATTGCTTTTAATTACGGGAACTCCCCTTCTATAAAATATTCAAATTTTACCGCCATAAAATAGTCTGACTCGTCCTCGACGTAACAAATTGCTCATATATAAACTTGATGGTGTAGAAGGAGTACAATTGTTCTATCTAGCTTGTAAGTATATATATATATATATATGTGTGTGTGTATGTATATATATATATAGGTATATATATATAGGTATATATATAGGTATATATATAGTATATATATATAGGTGTGTGTATTACAATAATTATGTTATATATAATAGCTGCACACATACACAAACATACTGTGTTTCTCTACTTACATACATACATATACATACCTCCCTCAACGTACAGACCATTGGGAATGATAGATACAACGGGGAAGCTGCTCGAAAGACTCATTCTTAACAGAATGGAGATATGGATTGCAGGAGAAGAAAACGAGGGGATTTCTCCAAACCAATTCGGATTCCGGAAGGGAGTGTCTACCCACCATGCACTACAGAAAGTGCAAGAACGGGTATCAGAAGCCCTCTACAAATTGCCAGATCGAGGGGGATATTGTGCTATAATAGCCCTGGACGTCAAGAATACGTTTAATTCTGCTGGCTGGGAGCGAATATACCAATCTCTCGAAAAAGAGAAGAAGATGCCGTATTATCTGCTGAAGATGTTAGATAGCTACCTGAAGGATAGGACACTAGTTATAGTGGCCGAAAACGGCAGAATAACTGTCGATCTGACAGCGGGAGTGCCGCAGGGATCAATAAAGGGACCCTTCCTGTGGATCTGTATGTACGACGGATTGCTGAGACTGAAACTAATGGAGCATCGTTAGTTGGTTTCGCTGATGACTTGGCATTGATAGTGGTCGCAGAAACGGTAGAGCGGGTGGAGGTCATCGCAAACGAAGCTCTGGAGCTGATCGCTGAGTGGCTAGCCAGCAGGCTGTTACAGCTAACGGTGCGGAAATGTGAAGCTATCCTAGTGACGCGGAGAAGAAAGTTCAACCCTCCCCAGTTTATAATAAATAAAGAAATAATTCCCTTAAAGAGTGAAATAAAGTACCTAGGAGTATGGCTAGATAACAAGTGGTCTTTTAAACACCATGTCAAGCAAGCAGCAACGAAAGCATCGATGGCTTGCACATCACTCGCGAGGATAATGCCTAACATAGGAGGACCATGGCCGGCACGTAGAAAATTACTATCAACAGTCGTAGACTCGATCCAACTGTATGGCGCTTCGACGTGGGCAGCACGGGTCTTGCCAGCAGATGTAGACCGACATATGGGATCGGTTCAGCGCAAGATATATACGTATTATCAGCGCATGGCGGTCGGTCTCAAGGGACGCAGAAAATGTATTGGCAGGAGTACCACCAGTGAGACTGTTAGCCTTAGAAAGAGGGGAAATCTGGCAAAACGAAGAAGAACAATGGCAGCGACATGGAGACCTCTCTGAGGAAGAGAAAAATCGCATACGAAGAGAAGCGCGAGAAACACTTTTGACAAGATGGCAATAAAATTAGGAGGCAACAAAAGACGGAAGATGGACCTACGAACTCATTCCAAGACTAAGAGAATGGGTACTCAGAAGATACGGAGTGGTCGACTACTACCTCACGCAGGCACTAAGTGGACATGGATCCTTTGGAGTTTACCGGGCCAAGAGAGGGTTTCGTCCAGACAGCAAGTGCACTTTTTGCGGAGAAGAAAAGGATGACGCGGAGCACACACTGTTTGAGTGCCCTGCAAATGAATGTGAGAGACAAAGACTGACAGTAGAACTAGGATTGACTCGAATAACGAAAGACAACCTGATACTGACCATGTTGACGACGCAAGAGAGATGGGACGATATAGCTACCTTCATCAGGGGAGCAATGAAGACCAAAGAAGAAAAGGAGAGAGAAACGAGAAGAAGAGACTGAAGAGATTATAAGACTGATGGGCTGAGAATCACAGCAAACGAAGAGGGATCCTTCGGGATCAGAACAGGCCCCACCGAAGTAATACTGAAAAGGAGTACCGGTGGGTGCTAGAAGTCGAAAGGGGAATTTCGCTTTGCGGCTATGCGTTATAACATGGCCGTAGAACGAGGGGTTTTTAGTCGGTATGCCACGTATTGGAGACTCCGACACAAGACGGCACATTGGTGCCGAGGTCGTTTCGACGGCTTCGTCAACAATGGCCGTCTGGTCTTTAAAAGATTTTTACCCAACCCCTTAAAAAAAAAAAATAAACATACATACATACATATACATACATACATACTGCTGATGTTTCATATGTATATCACATATATGTATTAATTCTGGTGTCTAATATATGCGTAAACTTTTTATTGACCATCAGATACAGAGGAGCAGATGAAAGAAAAGCTTAAAAAAAAGTCAAGGCAACCACCAAGCAACGTCCTTAAATTTGCGACTGATACAGAATCCGAAGAACCAATAACTAAAACTACATCTACCAAGTCAAAGATTAAACAGACTCCAAAGAATACTGCAAAAACGAATGGTCGTAAGAGCCAAGTATGTGTCAAAATAAAAATCATTCATTTTCTTGCATCACTATGTGATTCTAATTTTTTATTTGTTGTGTGCTAATCTTATATTATTTTATTACAGGAGCAAAAGGATAAGGAGTTTGCAAAAATCATCCAAATAAAGCTTGAAAAAGTTGCTGAATTGAGAAATACTCGACAGGTAAACTAATAAAATATCTCTATTTATTCATACCTTTCAGGTTTCATGTGATGTTATGAAAAAGTATTTATTAGACACTCTAAACTAATACCGTCATTTTTGTTATTGTTAAATATTGTTTGTACATTTTAGCTAATTGTTATACAGCTATCAAGTTTAAGGTATTTACAAACAATGAGTGCCTTTTAGAAAAAGAATCGAACAATTATTTAAAATGTACTATTATATCGTATTGAAAAAAACTGGCAATTACAATTATTCATTAGAAATAAAAAATAGAATGTTTTGTAACGGTGGTCAATTCAATTAATCGATCCGTTCGCAATTCTGCTTCTCGCGCGATCATTTGAATAAGCAGTTATGCCTCAGCTGTTTGCGTGTCGATACCACCGATTTTTATTTTGCATTGTGTTCGCCGATTGATAAGTTTTTCTGGGACAAACTTTACGTGCATGGGTGCAACTAAGTTATTGCAGCAAGCAACAGCAGATTGGCAGCAGCAAAGTTAAAGCTGATAGGAGAGTGAGGCAGCGCAGCTGATAATTAGGAGGGCAGCGGCAGTTGATTCTTCATCATCAACAATTATGGCTGATCACCGTAATTGCACCGCAGGGTAGGTGCACCTTCCTTCATTATTGCGTGACAAAATACATTCGGTATTTTGTCAATCGTAATAGCGATTTTTTTTGTATTTGCGCCGAGCGTTAGTTCGCGGTAAAATTCGAATCTACTCTCTCTCTCTCACCCAATAATATTCATTGTAAAATCCTATTCGCGTACGTTAGTCTTTCGGCACAACAAAGACTGTAGTTATTTTTATTAATTAAAGCTAGTCAAATCTATTCGCCGATTACGTCATTTAATTTTTCCAGTAGCTTAAGCAATTTGTAAAGGACTTAGGTTTTAATCCGATTACGTCTAAGGGATTAAGTGAATGATTAGGCGTAAAGTCGCCCACACCTAAGATTCATCGAGTGTCACAAGGCACGTGACTTAAGGTGAGTTCAACTCCGTTCGATAGAAGACAATTAAGCGAAATCATCTGACGTAAAGGCGAATACACGTACAATCATACGTGTTTAACAGAGCGGCGGTTAGCTCTGCACCGTGGGAGTTTGTTCTTAAATAAATTTCTCATTTTTTAAGATAACCACCCCCGTTACAGTTTATATTTATTTTTTTATAACATTTCAATAACGATCCAGCTATTTTTATACTTTTCCGTCAAAATAGTATAGCTGTATCCTTTTTATTAGGGTTTAATGAACGCAACAAGCGAGGGTTAAAATAAAAATGAAAGAATGATATAAAATTAAAACATTTAATATTATATATGAATGAGCTCATATATATTGAATGTGGGGTTTCGATTAACATTTTGTATCCTTAAATATGCTAAGATACGTTATACCAATCATATTCAAAAGCCGTATACTTTAAAATGACTTAAGAGGACTAGATTTGTTGTCATAGCAGCTTCTACCCATTTTTAAAATCCAAACTACTCAAACATAACACTTTCATGAAAAAAAAGTTTATTTACCTGAAAAAAAAATCAGAAAAATACGTATTTTTCACTGTTCCAATAATTTTTGTTATTTATGAATTTTTACTTGAATTTACACTTATTTTTTTACAATTCTGCTTGGCTTCAATAGATTTAAATGGGCTGTAGAATATCTGTATACGTTTTCAATTCAATCAATCCATTAATTGAAAACTCAATTCAAAATCTTCGAGAAAATGTGTTAAGATTCTTCAAAACCAACTGTGGAAATTATCAGCTAAAAGGTTTAGTAGTTTCTTTTTGAATTTCATTGCTGAATTAATATTGTATGCATATTATATACACATCTTCTCTTATCAATTGTAACGGGGGAAATAAATCTGAAAATGGAAAATTTATTTAAGAACAAACTCCCACGATGCAGAGCAAACCGCCGCTCCGTTAAACACGTATGATAATACGTGTATTCGCCTTAACGTCAGATGATCTATTCTAGTTGTCTTCTATCGATCGGAGTTGAACTCACCTTAAGTCACGTGTCTTATTACACTTGATGAGTTTTAAGTGTGAGCGACTTTACTCCTAATCTTCTTAATCCCCTAGATGTAATTGGATTAAAACCTAAGCCTGTTTCAAATACTTAAGCTACCAGGAAAATCAAACGACGAAAACGGCGAATGAATTTAACAGACTTTAATTAATAAAAAATCACTACAGTCTTTGTTGGGCCGAAAGACTGACGCACGAAAATAGGATTTTACAATTTAATTATGTTAGGTGAGAAAGAGAAAGAGATAGAGTAGATTTGAATCCTACCGCGAACTAACACACGACGCGAATACAAAAAATATATCGCTATCACGAATAGACAAAATACCGAATGTATTTTGTTTCGCTTAATATGACGGAAGGTGCACCTACCATGCGGTGCAATTACGGTGATCAGCCGTAATTGTTGTTGCAAAAATTTCAACTGCCGCTGCCCCTCTATTATCAGCTGCGCTGCCTCGATCTGCCTCAAATTAGCTACAAAGCTGCTGCTTCTGCACTGCTACTGGTTATCTCGAAAATACCGTTGCACTCACGCACGAAATTGTCCCAAAAAACTAATTATTCGGCGAAAACAAAGTGCAATACAAATCGGCGGTAAATTCACGTTCACAGCTGAGGCGTAACTGCTTATTCAAAAGATCGCGCGCCCCCTCTCTCTCTCAATAGTTCGAACTAACGCGCGAGAAGCAGAATCGCGAACGAGTCGATTAATTAAATCGACTACCGTTGCACAATATGTCTGAAAACTCATTTAAACTATGCATATGATATATCACCATATATATACTACAGATCAATAATTAATCACTAATTACCTATATGACCAGCTTCCATCATGTTAAAATAATGCAATCAATGTTATCTTACAAACTTTTTGAAAAATTTTAATTTATCTTCACTAAATTCTTCATGTTATACTCGGAAAACCTATAAACAAAAACAACAATCATAAAGAATTACATTCTATAGTTGTTGTCATTTTCAAAATCCAATGACACTTATCTGTAAGGCTATATCCTTGATTTTATTCTGTTGGGCACTCTTATTTTATAATCGAGTATCTTTAGACTCGACTTGCGATGCGATATATGAGACACTAGGAAGCATATAATTGTCGAGTGTCAAGCCAACGAAGTTAGACGCTTAAACAAAATATTCATCGCTTTCTGAACAATTTTTACTAAATAGGAATTATTCAATCCCATTCAAAATGTCACGTTAAATAGTAAAGTTTCTTATTGGAAACCATTAGACATGACATTACTTTAATGAAAATGAATAGTAATCTAGTGTTCTATAATTAATAAATTTCAATGGACTCCAATGCTCGACATCTTACTAAGCTTTTCAATCAACTTCAATAGTAAAATTTGCGTTTCAGATCGAGGATTGAAATTCATTGGCTTCTTTTTAATAGTTTTCAATGGATTTTTTTTAGCAGAGATGCCAATCTATTGGCAGTTAGGTTACTATTCAAGATTTTATTCAGCCTAATTAATTTTATCTCTTATTAATTGTTATGTGACAGAAATTGAGCAGTGACTAAAACAAAGTCTCGACACATAGTAAAAGCGTCAAGGCCAAGACTTTAGCGATAAGCTGCTGAAGTCAGCAGCGCATGTGTGCGCGCTTGTTGAGCCTTTGCAGCAGATACAAAGCAATGAGAAGGAGACGAAAAATAGGAAGGAGAGAGGGAGAGTAGGCTGCGGTAGCGAGGCAGGCGCTCGAGTAGTTGCGATTAGCCGGTTCTAAAGTACGGACGCTACTTTCGCCAGAGTATTGATTAAATCGACTTGAGTTAAGTCTCCGAGCATAAGAGAGAAAAGAGTTTGCCATTAATTATCGTGCTTTGAATTCAAATAATAAAGCTAATACCACAAATCAGACTTATATAAACTAAAAAAAAAGGACCAAAACAACAGAGTGAGTACTTCCACGCTCTATTCTCGATAAAGCGAAATCTCTTCCTTGTTTTATCTCTCTCTTTATTTCGATAACTACTTACTATATTCAGTGTTCCCTTTTCGGTGAATCCAATTGTTTGCGTACCGGGACCGGGTGCGTAACGACGACCGAGCGCGTATTTTAGAATAGTTATTTAATAAATCGTAAATTAGATAGTAACACGATAGAGGTATCAATACTAGACATGTTATCTTATGTA